ATCTAAGTGAAAAAACACCACATAGGTGTCGCCATTACCATTCTCAATATGGGGAATATATATGATTGGTCCTATCAGTCAAAAAGCTAGCAATAGATATTGTTTCACACTTATAGGTATCGATTACTTTACAAAATGGATAAAGGTAGCCTCTTATGCAAATTTCTCATAACGAGTTGTTTGATACTTTCTATAGAAGAAAATCAACTGTAGATATTACACACCTATAACCATCATCATCGATAATGCTCAAAACTTTAATCGAAAATCGATCGTTAGCTTATACGAGTAGTAGAAGATCAAGTATTTAAACCCTACCCTATACTTGTCTTAAATTGAATGGGCGAGTATAGGCCATAAATAAAAACATAAAGAAGATAGCGTAGAAGATAGTGATCACATAAATACGAGCATGAGATATTTCCATATGGATTGCATACATATTGCATTTTAATCAAAACATCCATAGGGGTAACACCATACTCTTTGGTATACGGATAGAAGCAATGTTGCCATTAGAGGTAGAAATTTATTCTCTTAAAGTCTTGATGGAAGCAAAATTAAAAGAGTCGGATTAGGCACAACTTTGATATGAGCAATGAATTTGATTAGTGGAAAAATACTGACCACAATTAGTTATGGGTAGCTCTATAAAAAAAAAAAAAGAATAACGACGGCTTTATGAAAAAAAATGCATTCTCAAGAATTCTAGGCCGGTGATCGGGAAATTGTACCTATTTCAAGAGATTTAAAGAGTAAATGATCACCCAACTATGAGGATCCGTATGTGGTCAAAAGAGCCTTCTTATATGGACCTCTTATTCTAATAAGCACGGACGAGAATAATCTTCCAAAGCAATTTGGTAAAGAAGTAATATACATGATGAAGCTTCATGTTGTCCATAAGCAATGAAATGGTTAATATATGTCAAGTATTTTTAATACAAATGTTTCGGTTTGCTTCTTTATTTCTTTACTCGTCAAAATTCTTGTTTTGATATGACTTTTTGTAATATCCCTTAACTTTACAAGGTGAGCAAAATAGTTGAACTAAATTACTCTTTTTGGTCAATAAGCACATTATATTCTAGCACTTGTTTGGATAAACTGACACATATTCTAAACATTAAAAGGAAACACCGTAATATTTTACTAATGCCGGATTTATAATCCCTTTTGTTGTCTCTTTCTTTTTGAGATTGCACATTATGATGGCTATATTTATAGAGGCCTCAAAGGGTAAAAGAAGTAAAGAATGATCTTTGCAGCACTAAGAGTAGACTCAAATCAAAACAAATGGTTATTGTGAATGCTAATAATCTTCTCAATAAAGTTACTCTTGATGAGCGGTTAGTGTAGATGTAAATAATATCATGGTAAGCTAACTGAAATAAGAGGTAGGTGGACGACACAAATGATCGGATCAATGGCATAATGGTTGAGAAAAAGAATAAGAAGATGACACCGAGTGTACTTGGATAGTGAAATGAATGGAACTTAATCATTTTGGGAATAGTAAGACATGACTTGGGGGCAAACAAAGACAATTAGCCTAAGAGCAAATCTAGTTCAACATGTGTTAATGCTTGGATGAAGGCACACAAATAACCTTGTCGGGAAGTTAACAATAAGCAACGGGGCATGCAAACTATTCAAAGGCCAAGGCTATAATTAAGGACAATATGACCTAATGAAAGAGGAGGGGATCATATTCCTGTGAGCATGATAAAATAACAATAAGTTAAAACAACACTCATTCTAAAAACTCTAATAAACTAGCACTCGGACATAATATTTAAACTAGTTCACCAAATTCAAAACCAAAGGGTTGAGCTTTTTTTTTTTTTTTTAATAAGATGCGACCTAGACTTCTCTTAGAGGTATTATCCTCACGGAACCCATAATTTATCAATGCTATAGATAAAGAGAACTCAAGCATGAGAATGACCAAACATTTTCGTTAAAGGTTATTCATCATAAGCTAAGTTTTCATAAAATTCTAAGTGGTCACCTTGTCAAGATGACCAAGTTTTCAAAAATGTTCGAGTGGTCAACTCGTCAAGATGACTAAATTTCATAACAATGTACGAGTGGTCACACTTGCTAAGATGACCAATTTCAAAAAAATTTAGGTGTTCACCTTGTCAAAATGACCAAATTCTAAAATTGTCGGGAGGTTATCTTATAATAGTGAACCGAGTTGCTAGGAGGTCATTTTGTACTAGTGAACCATTTGTCATGAGGTCACTTGTAATAGTGAATCAATTACCGGGAGTTCATCCCATCTTAGTGAACCATTTACCGAGAGGTCACCTTGTAATAGTGAACTAGTTGCTAGGAGGTCACCCTGTAATAGTGAACCAACTTGCTATGAAGTCACCTTATAATAGTAAACCATTTGCTAGGAGGTCATCTTGTTATAGTAAACCATTTTCCAAGAGGTCACTTGGTAATAACTAACCAATTCATCTCTTTTTAATCATATCTTTTCCTTGCAAGCTTACTAAGTAACGATATTTGAAAACTTGTCTTCTTACATCTTTGACGCATAAGTATTGTAAAGAGAGAGCAGCTATCATCTATATATATATATATATATATATATATATATAAGAGGCGAGTCTATGCCCGAGCCTAGGCGATCCAAGTCCGATGGGTCGCTAGCCCAATCCCTTAAAACGAGAGAAAAAACCTTAAACCGACCAATATAGCATTATAAATAAATCTTACCCTACCCATATCGAGATAGACAACGATACCTAGAAAAAATTAACCACTAGCGACCTAAAGAGAAGCAAAAGACATCAATCGAAAAAAGCCATCATCACTCCCAACTAGTCGACTTCGACCAACACGCACCGAACCATCGGAATCTTCCTTCCAAGATGATTGTAGCATCATTTGAACCGCTCCATTCCAACAAGGGAGCAGCCCTCATTCACATCCCGAAGTTTCACCTTCGGCTGTCGCCTACGGATTTAGTTTAGTACTTGAATTACAAATTTAGGTAATTACACACTTGTACTTTCATGTTTTTTAATTTGATTTTCATCCAAATTTCATGATTTTACCTAATTTTTTCTTTATTTCATAGGATGCTACTCGTCAATTATATGATTGATGATGAATATTTATACGATTATTGAATGTAAAATATTTTATTAAAGGCATAATTGAAAGATTTGAAAACCGAAATACTTGGGTTATATGGGACAAAACCAAAAAGAATCTAAATTCGAGTTGTTTTGATGTGTGATGTGTTTTAATGTTTAATCGGACTGAGAATAATGGATTAGTGATTTTTTTTTTTAATTCTAAACTTGTCTTATTTTGGTTTTATTTTTCATCATTATTTTGATAAAAGGGGTTTGACATATTATATAGTATCTTTAATTTTTATATAATAAGTCATTGAGGAACTGTTGGACAATGATGAAACTTGCAATTGGCTAGCATTTTTAAAAAAATTAAAATAAGCCAAATCTGAATTTATAGGCTAAGGACTTTAAGAATGCTTATTGGCTATTTTATTTTTCATGAAGTCATTTTGATGTGATCCGTGATTTTTTTACATGTTTTTTTATGCCTTGCACTATGTGTGTTTATATTTATGTAGTGCTAATCTAGGTCAATCTAGACGGAGTAAGTTTAGGACTTGAGATCGACTTTATTCTAATGGCGGATCTTTTTTTATTATTTTATTTTTATTTTTATGGTTGTTGTTTATAGTTAATTTTAATTTATTTTATGGTGCTATTAATTTTTTCTTCTTGTAGATTTAGCTCTTAATTTAGTCTTGGACTCAAGTTAATACTTTAAAGTGGCATGGTAGGATGATATGAGCTTGACCCATGTCCATTTTTTCAAGTTATTATAGACTTGTAATTTTATTTATTTATTTATTTATTTTTGTTATGGTTTAGCAAGTGAATTTTGGCCTAGGACCATTTCATTTATTTATTTATTTATTATTATTATTATTTGTTATTATTTTTTGAGTTTTTGGTGGGACTAGAATTTAACGTGCCATAGACTTTTAGCTCTAATTTTTACCCTTTCAAATGGGCTTCAATAGCCCAATGACATTGTAGGTGAGAGGCGAGTCCTGTTTTAGTCTTCAAATCATCTCATTTAGAACTAATTAGAAAATACCTAAATAATTGAACACGTAAATCAAGTTAGAAAAGGTAATTTGCATGACTTAATTCCCTTAAGCTAGAAATACAAGATAATCCCACATTGAGGGTCTATTAGAATGACTCGTAGTTTTCTCCGGTTGTGTAATCAACCCTTTACTTAGAACTCTTGAGACTAGTGTTAGGTTTTTCTTAGTTTTTACCTTTTGAAAACCGAGTGGTGACTCCACACTTACCTATACATAGTTATATAGGCAAGAGGTCATCCCGTGACAACCTTAAACTCATTAAAATAAGTTACTGTAGTTTTTTTTTATAAAAAAAAATTCACCACATGGATGGTATGTTAAGCAATCTTACAACTTCAATCTCTTACGAACATAATCCATTTCATGAAGATTGAACTCTAATATTTGTGGCGCAACAAATAAATCAATTGTCAATAGTCAAATAGCATTTTTCCAAAAAAAAAGAAAAAAAAGTCATTAAGTTAATGCATTTAATATCAATGATGTTAGACCCCTAAATAACAAAATATCTTTGGTACAATAATTTTGTCTATTATTCAACGAAAACAATCTATTTTTGATTGTCTATGTTGACATTTTACCTTTACCTTTCATTCTAAGTCATTTTGTGGTTGTTACGTGAGTGCCTCCTTATAAAATAAATACTGACTATAAAACTAGGTTCCTTTCGTCAATAATTTATTGAACATTTCTCAAAAGGATAATCCAAATTGAAAAAATTCTGATACGGGATTTGGTTCAAGTCATTATATATGCCCCATACACTAGGTATTGTCCAAATTAAGCTATTCCTATATTGGGATCAACCTGATATTGATAATACACATGATCCCAAATGAGGTTGTTTAACACTAATAGCACAAGCACTTATGCAATTAATCAAGATCCACTTCTGCATCTAGCTTCGTATCTCATTACATTAAACTTCTCTGCAACTCATAAGATTTTGCCTCTACCGTTGACTAATTAATCCGAAAATTTTCTCTAGGACCCAAATTTTATTATCAAATAAATTTCTTTCAATGTCTTAAACAACTTTGTATATGTCTTCAAAAGACAAATTAATTGAGTATTGAACAAGTAATCTAGAATTACCAATAGGTTGCATCTATCACCAAATTAATTATCATAGTCTATTTTATCAGCATATTAAATGGGACCTAAGAAGTGGCTACCAAGTCGTCCAAGCATTGTGGTGAGCACCAAAAAAACATTGATATCATAAGACCTTGAGAGATATAACTACCAAAGGTCTTTATCATATAAGTTTATTAATAAATCAAAGATAGTATGTTAGGCTTCAAAACAATGCTTACATTTTCAAAAAGCCTATATTGTATAGTAGCCTAAACAATTGTCTTCTCTATTTATTGAAGTTGACAGACAACAAAAAAAGAAAAAAATTATCATAAATAATATAAAAATAGAAGAAAAAACCTAGAAAAAATACATAAAAGAAACTAAAGAAAATTAGGTAAAAAGGCAATGGAAATTAGATGAAAAACCAAAAAACCTGCACCAAATCCAATGTTAAAAATATCAACAAAGGGAAAGAAAAATGAAGTGCCAACTTTTGTCTCCCCTAGGGAAAAAAAGAGTAGAAGGTGAGATATATATATATATATATATATATATATATATTCTGGTTAAAATAGACATAGCCCTCTACTTGGGATTAACTCTGTAGAGAAATAATAAGATAAAAAAGAAGAAAGGAAAAAAAAAAAAAAGCAATCTCAACCCAAATCAAATTTGCATGAGGATTAAAAATCATCCCCAAACCATTGAAAGAGTGACTTATAATTCTAATTCAATAAAAGACTAGAAAAATGAATAAAACTTAAACTTTATACCTTATGGCTGCGCTGATACCAATCCAACCATTGATGTTCTTGCTGAAATATGAATTTTTTTTTTTTTTTTTAATTCAGTCTTCCTAGTAAGATTGTAAGAAAAATAAAAGGATGCTAATATAGAACAGATAGCATAAGAACCCCTCTATGCTCTAGCTATATCTTTAGCAAAAGTAACTAACATTTAAATAAATGAAATATTAAATAGAGTAGATAAAAAAGTCTTTCTCTAAAAATATCACAATATGTAGACATGAAATCGATCTTTTTATTCTTTTTTGTTATTTTTCATACTCTGGTTTTTGATTGTTCGGTATAGTTTCAAATGTTGTAAGTTAGGATTGGAGTATGCTAGAGGATAGAATTCATTTGGTTGTTGATTTTCGAGTTTGATCGATGCTTCTCGGATTATATATATTATAAGGATAACTTCTTTCATCTTGCTCTTTAGACTTTGATATCTATCCCCATCTTATCTGCTGCAGAATTATGTAGGAATATAGACTATTAGAAGAAGGATGATTTGGTTGGGATTTTGTAGAGGGACCAAGTCGATGGATTGGGTGTCGCATTCACATTATGTGTTAAGGTTCTAATATTTGATTTTGTTACGTTAGATGGCTTGGGCATGTTTCCTTTTTAAAAATGGATGGGAGTGCATTGAGGATTCGAAAAGGTTATGACTATAAATTTTTAACTATTTGTGTTTTATAATCATGGTATTATTTCTTCGGTATTCATCTATAATTATGGATGCATTAATTACATTATCATATTAGAAGCATTTTTTCTTTTAATGTTACTTTTTAATGGACCTTTGGTATCTCCTCTATCAATTGTCGTTTAATTCTAATAAAATATTAATTTATAACTTTTTGTTACTCTGACTGTTGGTATCTCATCTATTAATTATCCCTTAATTCTACTTTGATATCTCCTCTATTAATTGTCACTTAATTCTAATAATTTGTTTGGAGCTCTTTGTTGCTCTACTCCTCATTAAAATGTTCTTGATATCACTTGTATATGTAATCCAATAGTCGTTCTCTCTCTCTCTCTCTCTCTCTTCAATCTTAATTAGCAAAAAATTCATTACTTTAAAAACATATCTTAATTGTAAGGTTATTCATGGAGATTAGAGAAGAGATACTTTGATTTTCATTTTCTGTTCACCCATAAGTTGCTTAAGGAGGGGGAAAAAGAGATGCAAAACCCTTTTATTCGATTATGGAGTGCTCTGTTACAGCATGTCTAGTGGACAATCTAATTATCTTTTCTTCATTGGCATGTGGAGAGTTTTCTTTTCTAACCATCAAATTCATGGCAAATAGATTCAACTAGTTTTTTCACCCATACTCGTTACGGATCGAATAGAACACATAAAAATATTTTTTAAAAATTATTTGTTTTATATTCCATGTTATATTATGGATATACTAAAATATATCAAATCAAAATTGCATAAAAATTCATTACATTTTATAATTTTTTAATCAAAATTTTGTATTTGATTAATTATTTTTTATATTTTTCATAAATTTTCAATTAAAAATATTATTTATTTATCTACAAACTAAAAAATTTATAATAGTATAAAAAATGTCAAAATCAATAGATTCTTAGTTAAAAACTTATTTTATAAATTTTTTTCTAAATATTTTTTTTACCTTAAAATTTTTAATTAAAAAAATCAAAGGAAAAAAAGGACCAAAGTGACTAAAATAAAACTAAAAAAATCTTTTTTTTAAAACATTGTTCTTTTTTACAAAGTAAAAAAAAGTTCAAAAAAGAGAGATCAAAGTATAATATCACGAAAAATTTCATAATAAATTACAAAAACTTTCATAATAAATATCTTTAAAATATTTAAAAACTATAAAATACCACTCGCATAGCGAAAGAAATAGCATATGAGTCTTGATGAATAGTATGAATAAGTCGATGAACGAGTATTTTGAATAATGCAATGAATAGTTTCACTCTTTTTTTTTTTTTGTTAACATCAATCGATTCATCTTTGTTTGTAATTTTGTTCGCATTTCTCATCCATTGAACCTACTTGTTCGTGCTCATTTGCTTTTCTTTTTATCATTTCCCCCTGTCTTCGAATGAAATGTTTGGCTATTGATTCGGGGTTGATCACTTGCCCAAACAATTTCCTTGTTCTTTAATTTTTGGCTCAACGGTTGCTATGTCTGCATCATCTTATGGATGGTCTAACCGTGTTAATCGACCTAGGAGCCGATCATCCTACATAGACTTTATATTCCAACAAGTTCCATTGGTGCAAAATACTATCGGGCATGCCATATGCCTTGATGCAATTGCATATGATTTTGAAATGGTGTCTTCGTCCGTACCATCGTCATCCACACTCAATGATGGTTTGCCCGGCAAACAAAATTTATGCAATGAAATGTTGTTTAAGGATTTGACAACTCCCGAGGTTCAAGAGTTCGAGTCCTATCAATTTTTGACATTTTTTACATGTTCCATCCTTGGACCAAGGTGCTACGTCATCCTCAAATAACATAAGTTTGTTTGATGAACCTTCTATAAATTTTTCTTCTTCTACAAGCAATGTTCGGATGACTACCCGTGCATCTTACCAACGAAAAAGAAAAAGTGAGCGTCCTCTTTTGTTTTACGTCAAAAAAAGAAAGAGAAAAAAAATTACTTTTAACTAATTAAATTCATTGTCTTCTATACTTTTTTGTATGTTTTAAATTCCTTCGTTTCCCTTATTGTTAGGGCGTGGTGATGAATATATTGATTTTGGAGACAAAATACATTCTTGTGAATATTGTTCGCTCTTTTTTGGTTAAAAGAACATCTCAAATCATCTATAATCTGTAGACCAAAGTTCTTTCTTTGTTTTCTTGGTGGAAAAGTCAAATTCACATCGTCGTAACGCACCGCTCACGTATGAGATAAACTCGCTTGATTCAACTAATGGTGTTTCATCGAATAAATTTAAAGACGATATTCAAGCATACAATTCAATGTTTGCTTTTACATTTATGGGTGTAAAGCTTGATACATTTGTCAATGTTCAACCGGGCCTTTATGTCTTCAAAATTAAGGACAAACCCACCATTTGATGGGCTCTCTTTTGCTCGTCGAAGGCAAGCCTTCGAGGTTTGCTCAACTCTATGTTTATGACACATATAATGAAGTCGCTAATCGACTTAATGCATTTAGTTCTTCCGGAAATAACCAAAGATGAACAAGTTTTGAAAAATCTTATTGAAACGTTTGATAATGCTTTAGTTAGAGTCTTTCGAATTGCAAAAGAAAGAATGTTGCAAAACGAGAGATGTTGCCTACAAATTATGCCTCGTTAGCAAGAAAAGAAGGTGATGGAGGTCGTTTTGATCTCTCTTCATTGAATAACATCGAGTTGGTTAGTTGTTGGAGACATAGATGAATTCTTTTCCGAAAGGGATATTTTGGTTGAGAGCAAGTTAGGTTCACTCCAAAGAATATCTAAATAGCATCCTAAGTACATGTCTTTGCAATGCCCTTTTCTTTTTCCTTATGAGGAAGACAATTTTCATGTTGACCTCAAATGGAATAGAAATTTTACTAGACCTATTCCAAAAAGATAATGTGTTCCCATGAGAGCCTAATATGCGTATTATTTACATGAAAGAGATGGCAAGGATTCAACTTTGCTACAAGGTGGTCGTCTCTTCCAATAGTTTTTGGTTGATGCATTTTTCATCGTTGAGGAAGATCGTCTTGATTACATAAGAACTAATCATAAACAAGTTAGGAGCGAACAATACAAGGGCATTAACAATGCTATTTCAAAAGGTGACATCAATGCATCCGATGCTTGAAGAATATTAGTCCCTTCTTCTCTTACGGAAAGTGTTGGGTATATGATTAATAACTATCAAGATGCTATGGTTATTTACAGAGCCTATGGTAATCCCGATCTTCATAGCATTTACATGCAACGTCAATTGGCTTGAAATCGAAGGAAGCTTGGGAAAAAAAGCATTATAAGTCCAAAGATAAAGTTGATATAATCACATAGGTTTTCAAGACCAAACTTGATGATATGATTTCATTTATTAAATCCGGTGTACCATTTAGTGAAGTCATTGCTAGTACGAAGCAAATCAATTTACCTTGCTAGTTTTTCTTCCAAGCATTTGTTGTTGTTCTTTTTAGCTTCTCACAAATGTCTCTTTTTTATTAGATGTTTGTGCTTGTTGAGTTTTAAACCGAGGCATTCATCTCTTAGTATGGCTAGGCCCCGGATTTAAGTGTCACTCCGCTGAAGATGTTAACTCCATCGTATCGACTCGAAATACCCGACAAAGATAGGGATCCCGATTGCTATGACATGGTGTCCTAGTTTATGTTACCCGGTCCATATGACATTGTCAACACGAATGTTATTTGTATGAAACTTGGATGATGTTCAAAGTGTTTTTCGAAAAAAAACATGCCCTCAACAATCTTTGATGATAATGGATTTTTCTCTTACAAGCATCGAGAAGATCCATCATAATTTATCACGAAAAATGGGATCCAATTCAGCAATAGCTATGTTGTTCCATACAATAGAGAATTACTTCTTAGATACAAAGCTCACATCAACATTAAAATTTATTGTCAATCAATGCTTATAAAATATATGTTCAAGTATGTTAGCAAGGGCACGGATAGAGCTAGGATGGTTGTGGAGAAAGAGAATGCCGATGAGATTCAAGCCTACCATAATTATCATTTTATTTATCCATATAAGGCCGTGTGGCATCTTTTTCAATTCCCGATCCATTTTAGGGACCCTTATGTTGAGCAACTATCAATCCATTTACTCGAAGCAACAATTTATTGTTTTCTCTAAAGATGAATTTTGCATTCAGTCATGAATAGACACTGGAATTGAAAAAACTATACTAACGGAATGGTTCAAGGTTAATAGGATAGACCATGTTGCTAGTATGCTTTATTACTCAAATACCATCTCGCATATATATGGGATGCCGAAAACAAAGAATGGTGTCCAAGATCTCGGAGTCAAAGTGTTAGTAGAATTGCCTATGTTCATCCCATTATCGATGGGCTCTATCTTCTATGGATTTTATTGAACCATGTAAAAGGTCCCTCGAGCTTTGACCATATCAAGATAATTTCTAGCATTGTTTATCCGACTTTTCAATCAGCCTTGCAATGCACTTAGTCTTTTAGGTGATGAAAGAATGGAATGAGCCATTTGATGAAACAGATCAAAACAACATTCTCTTTGCAATTATGCCGACTTTTTATCGGTATGGTTTTATTTTGTGGTATTGTTGATCCAAAAGAATTTTTTTCCAATTATCGGCGGTTCATGTATGATGATATTCTTTCAAAACTCGAAGTGCTTTTACAATGTTGGATTTTCATATGCTTGATTTAGAATTGAAGAATTATATACTCGTATGAACTTGAAGTCCTTTTCAATACGAGCATCCACGTTTTTAGTTGGGCACAATCTTCCAATGCTCAATGAATGCTTAATGTCAAAAATAAAAAACTAACTTTTACGAGAAGATCTTGATTATGACATTATCGATCTCAAGGACAAACATCTATCATCGGTCGCACAATTGAATTTAGACCAAAGAAAGATTTACGATGATGTTATGAATGGAAAAATAGATTTGTTCTTTATTCATGGTCATGGAGGCACTAGTAAAACTTTCTCATGGTATACTATAATCAATAGAATACGTTCGGAAGGTCTTATTGTGCTCGTTATCACATCTTCTAGGATCGCATCATTGCTACTTCTTAGAGGTAGAATTGCTCATTCTAGGTTTAAAATTCCTATTACCCTCAATGAAAAAGGAACTTGTTGCATAAAAAAACACTTTTTTGTCTAATTTACAACAAAAAAATCACTTATTGTATAGGATGAAGCTCCTATAAATAACCGAAGTTGTTTTAAAGCTCTTGATAGAAATTTATGTGATGTTTTGATCGTGTGCGAAATTGCCCATTTGGTGAAAAACAGTTCTTTTTGGTGGAGATTTCGCCAAATATTGCTAGTTATTCCTAGCGGCACAAGAGAAGAGATTGTTCGTGCCTCACTCATTATTTCATTTCTTTGGCCAAAATTCAAGCTATTTATTTTGAAGAAAAACATGTGCCTCTCGGATGAAGGTCTCAATGGTGAGGAAAGACTTGCACTTAAAGACTTTTCCGAATGGATTTTAAAAATTAGGGAAGGTAGGGTTTCGGATATTTCTTGTTCTAATGATGATGATGTATCATTCATTAAAGTGCCCTAAGAATTTCTTATTCCCGTTGTTAGCGAACCAATAAGAAACATTATTTACGTAATTTATCCGGACCTTGCAGAATGCATTATGTCGGATGAGTATTTTAGAGAGAGGGCTATAATCACTCCTAAAAATAAAGCTGTCATAAAAATTAATGAATACATACTCGATCATCTCTCCGGAGAGAAACACATGTATTTGAGCATTAATTCCATATGTAGCTTAACATCGGATGTTGGAAATCTTGATGCTTTGCGTCCAATTAAGTTTATAAACCAACTTGAATTCAATGGGATACCTTCGCACACCTTTTGTTTGAAAATCGATGTGCCCATCATGTTATTACGAAACATCAATCAATCATGTGGCCTATATAATGGAATAAGGCATATAGTCACACAACTTGCAAGTAAGATCATTGAGGCATGAATTATAACCGATAATAACATTTGAGCTCCGGTCTTCATCCCTAGGATTGTTTTTTCAATTATAGAAAGCAAATGGCCATTAACTCTCAAACGTCGCCAATTTCTAATTAGGCCCCGTTATGCAATAACGAGTTAATAAAAGCCAAGAGTGATCTCTAGAAAAAGGTTAGAGTCTTTTTGTTTGATCAATTTTTCACACACGGATAGCTCTATGTTGCTCGTTTCGAGAGTCACCTCTAAAAATGGTCTCAAAATAGTATCATGTGGTGACGACGATGCTCGCAATGATTGTATTAAAAATATTGTTTACAAAGATGTGTTAAGTGCTTTGCATATAGGTATACAACACATTCCATTCTATTTTTCTTATGATATTGTTTAAAAATAAACATAACATATATTCATTCTTAATCCTCATGCCATATGACTTCAAATAACCTCATAATGTTATTTTTCCCCTTATTTTGTCTTCTCATATATACCTACCTTTGGCTTCATTACGGCTTTTATAACGAGTTTTTTTTCTTTTTTCCCTTGACGAGACCTTGGTTTGAATCATGGCCATACGGTTGAGTGATTTGAAGATGTACACTCATGGGGGCATAATTCGAGTACGTGTTGCTTGCATCCGGATAGCCACAAACAATGACAATCCAACCAGACTTTAAACTCGCCTTCTCACGAATGATCAAGTAATTTCATAAAAAAATAACCAAGAGTTGCATATTTATCATCCTTCCATATACCAATCTTTTTCACTATATGTCAAACACTCATCATTCACGAAACAAATCACTTGCGAGCTATTACAATAGTGTTGC